TCTAAATCGATCCTCTCAAATGGGCTACCAATGTTGTATTGCTTCATAGGAGCCTTCCTTTTTCGTTGAGGTCCATTGTTCATAGCACAGGTGGTACATTTCTTACACCAGCCCTTTACATCATCGGAACTATTTATCCAGTTAAACCTTTCCTGAACTCTCTGAAGGGTTTTTTAACTGACGAAGTACTTCGGCTACTCTACTCCTTGGAATAACCAATTATCTTCTATTTTCGAAACCATCATCATTTTCAAGTACTCGCTTTAATAAGCCATCTTCCAGAATAAAAGAATCCCACTGAGCCAAATATGACTTAAGTACTGGAGAGAGATTAGATTCTTCTTGCCAAGTAGGTCGACGATATTCCTCTTTCCATTGTCGCATCTTCTTTAAAACGGTATTGTTCTCTTGTTCTTCCCTAATTTTAGCAGGGGCCCACTCATCGTTGACTATAGTTGTTCTTAGTAGTCACTTTCTTTGGATTCCGCTTTGTTGCAGTGGAATCACTCTGCTGGACACGTTCTTCTAGAGAGAGAATCGGCATTTCCGTGGCTTAGTCCGGCTCTAGGTTCGATCTTAAAGTCGTACTCTTGAAGTCGTTCAATACATCTGGCGATTTGTCCCTCCGGGTTTTTGAACTGCATTAACCACTTAAGAGCTGCATGATTGGTACGGATTAAGAATGTTCTTCCCGCATTTCACAACAGCCAGTAGTTCTCTTCTCGTGACGCAGTTTTCGCTCAGGTTTCGAGAGTACTTTACTAAAATAACCCAGTACTTTCTTTCCCCCCTTGGATCTGTAAAAGTACTTTTCCAATTCCCACATTACTGGCATCAGTATCCAGAATAAATTCTCTCTTTGGTAGTGGGCAGCCTAGTATTGGTGCTGTTGTTAAATGCTTCTTTAGTGTTTCAAAGGCAGTTTGGCAGTCCTCGTCCCAGCAGAATTTCCTCGCTTCTTCTGAATCGTGTTAATATCTGAAAACTTCCTAATGAATCTTCGATAGTACGTACATAGCCCAAGAAAACTTCTTATATGATGTTTATCAGTTGGTTGTGGCCACTCTTTGATATAAGCGACTTTTTCCTTATCTACAGTTACGCCATCCTTGCTGACTATATGACCCAGGTATTTAATTTTTTTTTTAAATAGTTGGCACTTCTTGGGGTTTTTATTTATCTACTGGGTCCATTTCCACCTGCCAGTATCCAGACTTCATGTCTAAGGTAGAAAATAGTTTACTTGCGGCCAATGTGTCCAAGGTATCGTCGATTCGGGGCAGAAGATAACTATTTTTCTTGGTAACATTGTTCAACTGACGGTAATCCACACAGAACCTCGTAGTTCCATCCTTTTTCTAGACCAGGACTACCGGAGAGACTCATGGGCTGGTAGAAGGTTCTATCACCCTGTCTTCCTCCATTTCCTGAACAATCCTTTCAGCTTCCTCTCTTTGGTAATCTTCGAGCTGATTGACGAATCGGCCTGGCGTCCCCAGTGTCAATTTTGTGTTTTACAACAAGTTCTTCCTGTTTTTCCTCCTTTTGGTACAAAAATGTCACGATATCGTTGAAGAAATTCCTTTATTTTCTTTTTCTCTATTTGATTCAGAGATTGACCAGCAAACTGCAATCATTTGTCGTTGGAATTATCAGAAGTTGTTGTCTGACGAATTATGGAAGTTACCGGTCCATATCCGATTCTGGTCTCTTTCTTGATGGTAATTGGATGATCATTAACGTTTATAAGACGGACTGGAATCTCTTTAGTAGTCGTGACCAACCCCTTTCCGATCAGAATTCCTCGTCCAATCTCTTCATCGCGGTTCCAAGGTTCCATCATTACAGGTGTTCCTTCTTCCATAGTTTCTTGAAGCCGTGCTACTATAACGGTTTCACTTCTGCCAGGTATCACTGTATCCTCCTGTACAGCAACTGGCACGGTACTGTCCCCATATGGATGTAGGAATACCTCTTCGGCACCAACTTTGATCACTCTGCTCTTAAAGTCTAACTGGAGACCATGTAAGTTCATTACATCCATTCCAAGTATAACATCTTCGATATCAGCGACAATAACAGTATGAGTGAACTTTTCTGTACCAATTCCCAATTAAACCTGGATTTCCCCATGGATGTTGGCACTTTCACCGGTGGCAGTCCGCAGTCGCAATCTTGTTGGTAGAAGATTCTTACAGTTATTTATGGTTGTTGGTCGTATAATGGTCCTAGTTGCTCCAGTGTCCACCAACAGTGTATACTTTTTACCATTTACTTCGCCGTCTACGTATACACTATCATCGCGACATTTCAAAGAGGCTATCAGTATGAGAGGGTCTTTAAAACGGTTTCGGGGCGAAGCTGTCTCCTCTAGGCCGACCCGCTCTAGTTTTCCAAATTGGAAGAAATTTCGGTTTTTAAAGAAGACATATCGTTATTCATATTGGAAATTGAAGAAATTATAGCAGACGCATCGAACATTGAAACGTTTTCGGATCCAAACCTTCATTTTCTAGTGTTTGTTAAGTCGTTCCACCAGCTCTGATTACTTCCCTGTCGTCTCCATTTCACGTTCTTCTAACTCTCGACGTAACTCAGGCACTTTTAAGTTACACAGTTTTTTTAGCCATTATTGTGCACTATTTATTTACAGTTCCACTTCTAACATCAATGTGACGATAGTTCAATTTATTTATAGTTTATTTATTTAAACCACTATTTACAATTTATTTATGACCTACTAAATAATTTATATAATACTTAGGCTAGTGCCTACAATTCTTATTTATTACAATTTATCTTTTCTGTCCAACACTTAAATTCAATCCTCTCTTCCGTCTTCAAACTCGCGATATTTATATTAAGCCAACACTGTATCAGAATACTCTGGGCTTTCCAGAATTATCGAAAACTGCATCTCTATGACTCGTACGCCGCAAATGGATCTATCAGGTAGCTTCTCGAAGCGATGCGTTTGTCTCTATACGTCAGCAACATACCTAGAAGATTTCGGTGTTTCGACCATGAGTCGGGTGGCAGGCTTCAAGGTTGCTTGCTAGACAGGGTTGGCTCCGCGTCACATTATATTCTAATATAATATTAGAATATATTTATATCCATTCTACCTAGCAAGAACACTACAAAAAAATTAAATCCACCAATCGCAGTTCATATTTTAGTCACCCGGCTACTAATATTTTTTTAAATTTTGTATGACAATTCTGTCAAAGTAATTATCAGTATATTTTTTTAGTTACTGAGATTAATTATACGTAAAAATGAGTTATTTTTGCGTATAACCGATAAATAATAGCACATCTATTTTTATTTCGTCTATATTTACAAATAAATCATACATTTTATTCAAACTATATGAAACTAATTTAATTAAGAGTATTAAAACTAAATTAAATCTTTTCTTCTTGTTTAATTTTATAAATTGGTAAAAGTCATAAATTATTTTATAATTAGTTATTTTGTCTTAAGGGGGGAGTAAAGTTTTTAAACCTTTTTTTCATTTTTTATATTTGATTATGTGAATGAAAACCCTTTCAAGAATATTGTGTGAAAATTTGAGATGAATCGGAGCAAAACTAACGGAGATACAGCGGATTGAGTAACGGCGCATCATAGAGCAGAAAATACCTGCCCGGTCCGAGCGCGCCATTGTTACCTGGCATCAAGGACGGCTTTTATTCAAAAAAATATACTAAAAAGACAATGGGCCCCACTGAAAATTCGTCTCGGAGCCGCCCTTGCCTGGCAGCTGTTTCGCTCACTATATGATCCCTAACCTTACCTCCTACCTTTCTTTATAGAAATTTTAACACAATACAAACGTGTTTATATCTGTACTGTATATAATTTAGTGTAGCATTGGCCTGGCATGTTCTTTTGCTTTACTAATAGTATGCAAGACATAGGAATCAATAGTGGATCAAGCGCTCATGAATGAGGATTCGTTGTAGACAGGAGCAAAAAGATGCTTTAGACATCATTAATGATAGCATCCTTTATAGACCTGGCATCGATGATTCAGTGTGAGATAAGCCGATAAAACTCGCTTATGAACGTTTTATTCAAAATTTTTTAGTGTTCAAAACTTTGAAGCGTTTTTTCCACAACTCATGTTTCCAAAGTCGGTGCCCCTTATAATTTCAAAACTACTGCACCTATCCTTTTGAAATTTTGAACACTATTTCTGTACATAATTTACGAGGTAACGCTGGAGAGTTTTTTCAAATTTGTTAATATTTTTTTATTTTATAATAACAAATTAGCCTATTTTTTCGCAAGAATCGCGTTTTTTACTTCAAAGTGTTCCTAAAAAGTGAAAAATTGAAATTTTGAAAAACCCTCCCAGCGTTACCTGGGGAAAACGATTATCTAACGAGAAAACTTTGATTTTTTTATTTCTGATGATCCAGCACCGAGTTAGGAGGGGCACCGCAATTCTACTTTTTCCCGAAACGCTTCCGAATAATTGCTACCATTTCCGTATTTTTTAATATTTCTACATGAAAATTTGACACAATATTCTTTGAATGTTATACTTTAATGTACCATTAGTTTAAATAAACAGATTTTAACTGTGTCGTCAAAACAAATTCACAAAAATGTGCCTTTTTTGCACGAATTAACCTTACCCTCCCCTTAATTACCTAAAATAATTTTTAAAATTTGTAGATTTTCGTTAGTGGGTTGTACAAAAAACATATTGTACAACTCGAGTGGATTATTCATATCCACTCTTATGCACAAACTACTATATTGTATTTTATTGTATCCACTCATGTTGCACTAATTACTATTTGCGAAGAAATCTGAACACGCCGAACAAGATACACCTTGTAGAAACTATTTTTAGCCGTTCCAGTTTTAATGGCCATTACAAAAGCCTAAATTCATTTGCCGATATACTCGTGTAATTATTTCGATTACGAAAATCAGTATAAAATATGACAAACTTCAAACCTTTAAAAACATTTAATTTATTTTAGAATAGACACCCTTGAATCATCTTTTACTCCGTACGCAAGTTCGAGTCGTAGATTATCATCGGATATATTTAGCGATCAACAATCGCAAGACAGTTTTTTCCTCACCAAAAATAAGGCGGAATCTACCGCGAATAGATCGCATCTCGAAATTATAACAGAAGATTCAAAAATGTCAACAATTGATGTGACACCTAGCGGAGAATTAGAAGAATCTACCACGTCAGAAGGTAAGCAATGTAGTTATATAGAGGTAGGATTTTACTTTGAACTTTTATTTAAAATATATAAATAACAAGTTTAAAAATAGATATTTTAAAATAGCATTCATCAATACTGCACTATTTTTTATATTCGTTTTCCTCGTTAACTTTATAAATAAGTGGTTATATTTCTTACGGATTTAAGTAATCAAAACTATTTTTTTTTCTTGAGAATTTTTAAATTTAAAAACAATTTTAAATAAACCTTTCTATGTTGGAAATGTTTTCCAAAATTTCTTTATATATAAAATGAACCTAATGTGGATATTTTATTAGATCAAGTTCGACATTGCAAACAGTAACGCCTTCCTTAAAAAATTGTATGGAGAAAACGAAAAAACCTTCAATAAATTTTTAAAGATATTAGTTTGGGTACACTTAAATTTTGGGAAATAAACATTTAAATTAATTCAAAAACAACGAATTCTTAAAAGATGAACTTTTTATACATTATAAATTTTTTTAAAAATTATTTAGAACTTGAGCAAAACCCAATTACGATACACAGGATATTTTTTATTATATTTCAACATCGCGATATAGTAAATAACAGATACAAGATCGGTTTAATTAAGTTTTCTCTTAGCTTTTAAAACTAAATGTTTTATGTTCTAAATTGTAAATTGACAATTTTCCCATATAATTTTAGTTCCGCGAGTTTATGTGGACTTTCTTGGCGATAACAAATCTAGCGAGTATATTTTTTACTGTTTATTTCTTTTGAATGATTTTTCTAAAGGTAAAAATTTTCATTTTCTCAAATTCTTGATTGTGAATTGTTTTCGTTTAAATATCCACAATCTTAATAGTTTGAATTTTCATATAACGATATAAATACAACAATATTGTAATTTATAAACTGTTATTTTAAAAGATATTTTTAAATGTTTCTAAATAAATTTGTTTGTGTGGTTTGGATAATTTTAGATTATTGGCAAAGTCTCCTACATTATTTTGAAAATTTTAATAGGTTTTATATAGTTTTTTACTATGTCAGTATTATATTTATCGTTTCAAAAATCAATGAAATTTTATTAAATAGTAGAAAAGAAAATATCAAGATTAAATTCAATATCAGTACTATTAATAAACTGAATATTATATATAATAATCGCTTTATATGGATTGAATTGTAAACATTAGTTGGATTAACGTATTTTAAAATTATCTAATAGGTATATTTTCGACAGATTGATAAGATTAAACTTATCTGATAACAGTTACCCACTTTTAGCTGATTTTAAACATTATGCAGTCATATTTTAGATACATATTTGGTAATTTATAATAACATTAAAATGTTTTAGACTTGTTTGTATATATTATAATATTCTAGATAAAAATCAACTACTTTTTGCATATTATAATTGAAAAAATATAAACCATAATTTGCTTTCGTTTCACTATTACTGGAAAAATATATTTTTTGGTAGTCATTTAGTAGGAATTTAAATGTATCTTTTAGTAACTCCAAGTAAAAACGATTCTGCATTATCCAACAACGTATTTTTGAATGATTCGGTCCTCGAGAAAGGCGATAAAGAAAAGTCGTTTCCGGAGGATGTTAAAGATAAAAAAAAAGAAAATAAAAATAAAAGCGTCGTCGATGAAAGGAGAGCGAATGTCGAGAAAAGCCTGAATAAGATTGCCAGTATAACTGAAAGGCTTAAAAATCAGAGTCCAGTTATCAAATCCCCAGAAAAGAAAGGTAATTTCTGTATTAAGGAGGTCCGGCCTTTCGCCACCAATGTTAAATAAAAAATATTAGATTATGACTAATGATTTATTTTATTTCTAATAGTTGAATTCCTTATTTATCTAATAGTGAACTTTTAACTATACCTTACCGTGCAAATTTTTAAGAATTTTTTTTTAAAAATGTGAGTATTTGTAGTGTCTTACGAGAAAGTAAGACTTTAACAACAATTTTCGAATTATAATTAAGTATACTAATATTTATTGATTAGATGGAGTAGAAAAAAACTAAAAATAAGGTTTTTGAAATATTTAGGTTTTGTTTTTTACAATAAAATATATAGGTCACCGTGGAATTTATTGAGAAATTAATATTAAAAAATCACAAAAAATTTTCAACTAGGTTACTTGAAATTTTTTTTTTTATATTAATTTCTCAATAAATTCCGTGGTAAACTATATATTTTATTGTAAAAAACAAAACCTAAATATTTAAAGAACCTTATTTTTAGTTTTTTTCTACTCCATCTAATCAATAAATAATAGTATAATTCGAAAATTGTTGTTAAAGTCTTACTTTCTCGTAAGACACTGTACAAATACTCACATTTTTAAAAAAAATTCTCAAAAATTTGCACGTTAAGGTATAGTTAGAAGTTCACTATTAGATAAATAAGGACTTCAACTATTAGAAATAAAATAAATTTTAGTCATAATCTAATATTTTTTATTTAACATTGGTGGCGAAAGGGGTGGCGAAAGGACCTCCTTAATTAACAATCGTCTTTTAGTGTAAATTTATTAAATTTTTCTAGGTTCTCCTGGAAAATTGAAACCAACGTTGAATATAAACGTAAACGCTCTACTGCCTGGTTTATCTCAACCGAAAATAAAATCTTTAACCAAAGCTCAAAATAAAATTGAAGATGCCGATACAAATGATAATTCATCAAGTAATATTAATACTCCATCAATTAAAACGGACAACGCAAAGGAAATGTCACAATCACCGATAGATTTGGATAGCCCTATAGGATTTGATGTGACTGATAATGTTAATATCCTAACCAGCATAACTAAAGTAAGCACATGCGGTAAAAACCGTGTTATTCTGAAAATGGGGATTTTTTTTAGACACTGATATTTATATACAGGGAAATATTATAAGGACGTATTCTGGAAGTCGAAATAAACAAAATATTTTGTATAAACATGTGTCCAGAAATGCGTCCTTTCCGAGTTAAGTCAAGTGATCTTTGGTGTAAGATTTGTATAACTCATAATCGTCGATTTCCATGCAAGGGGGACCTTTTTTTTTATTAAATACGATTCCTTTCAACACCGTTTTGAATTTTTAAAAGCTTATTTAGGATCTTTTATCTTTGACTTCCTAAAATACACTTTAAATATTGTATATTTTTGCTATAGGCATGGCCGCCTATTTGATTTCCATTGACAACTCCAACTCCTTTTTTTTTTGTTGTAACTAAAGTTGATAATTTATAGGTTACTAACTTTGATGATGAATTTTAGCGGCATTGCTTTAAATTACTTACACACAAAATATACTACTACCTTTAGTCAAATAAATTAATTGGGTTCTATCTTATTAGCGGCTCCATGACAAAACAGCGTAGGACAAAATGGCGCAGATAAAACAGTACAGGACAAAATATCGGAAATACAAAATTGCGCAGAACAAAATAGCGCATGGAAAGAATAGCGCGTAACGAACAATATATGATTTTTTAATGAATGAAATTCATTGAAATAATGCGTAAAAATACTGTACCGACGACGCTTATGTAGAGAATATTTGAAGTGTAGCTCCGCCTCTCTCAAATAAAAAAAAACTAATTTACTTAATCTGTGCGGCCTCGGGCCATGGCGGGTTACTGTATATGCCTTCAGGCCGCACAGGTTAGGTAAATTAATAATAATAATAATAATAATAATAATAAATTTATTATTAACCAAAACAAAAAACTGATCACAGATGTTTTAAAATAACAAACATTGGTAAATAAATGGTACAGTATTAGGTTCAAAAACCGATTCTTCCATACTGCCCATTGAATAACAAACTAAAATACAGTTCTATAATGCTAATGGAGCCCAAAATTAATATATAATATTAATATATTAATATTAATATATAAAAATACATTAAAAAAATCTTAACTAAACTGAATATTCATATTCGTTACTGCCAGTTCATTTGTTCTGCTAATAACTGTTTTTATTTTTTTTTTTTATTTTTCTGAAACATTCTATTGATACACTATAAAATGGTACATCCAGCAAATTTCCATAACAAGATATTTGATAAGAGAAGGATCTTTTAAATAATTCTTTATTATGAGCGGGGGTATCAATAATATCTCTTCTTAAATTTAAATTATGTATATTGGTTCGGAATCTAACTTTACTGTGCAAATATGATGGAGTTTTATTTCTAAGTATTTTGTAAAAAAAAACACTAAGAATGTAATTTACGACGCGACGGTTTGACATATTCAACCATCCTGTTTCCGTTAATTTATGTGAGATCCGTTCTCTTCTCTTGATACCATAAATCATTCGTAGACAAGAATTTTGACACTTTTGAATACGGCACATATCACAATTATCTAAGCAAGGGGCGTATACTACGTCACAGTGGTTAAAATGAGATAAAACCAGGGTTTCACACAAGGTTTTTTTTAGTATCAGCATTTAGGTAGCTTCTTTGATTAAAAATAAGCTTTAGAGACCCATAAGCTTTACGGATTCTATTCGTTATATTTTTCTTAAATCTCAGTTTTGAATCTACATATAATCCTAAATTCTTGCAAACATCAGAAAATATTAAGCTTTCATTGTTTAACCGCAATATTAGCTGATTGAGAGCTTGCCTTTTTTGAACCTCATTTGCAAAAAGAATGGCCGATGATTTTTTCGCGTTTTAGTTGAGTTTTTGTAAGTGTAGGTTAATTGATTAATAGGTTAGGGCATTGATTAATTTTATCATTAATATCTAAAATGTCAATATTTTTAAAAGAATAATACAGCTGAGTATAATCTGCATATAGATGATACCAAAATTTAAACAAGTATGTAAATTCAAAGTATAAATGGAATATAAAAGCGATCCTAATATACTGCCTTGGGGAACACCTTGCTTTATCTCTTTAATATTGGATAATTTTTGACCAAGTTTAACTTGTTGAGTTCGGTTAATGAGTGACAACATTTAATTTTAATTAGAATACTGGAATATTTTGACACGCACTTTTATGTCCTGTGCTATTTTGTCCTGCGCTACTTTAACTAGCTCTATTTTGTCCTTGCGCTATTTTGTCTTGCGCTATTCTGTCCTTGCACTATTTTGTCATGGATCCCTTACTAGCATACTTTTGATATTTTTGGGTAACTAAAATTGGTAATTTATTTGGGTAATATTGATGTCAGATTTGATCGAGCTTGCTCGAAATTAATTACTTTTATAACTTGTCTACAAATACAATAGCACAAAGAGTAAGACTCTTCTAATGAATGAAACTGCAAAAATAATCTAAATTGAGCCATGTTGTACTGTTACTCGTTGAGCGGACAAAATTTACTATGGAATTTTGAAACTAAAACTTCTTATGTTATACTATACACTGAGCATCATAAGTCTTATCCCCCCTAACTAACTCGGTACTGTTGTCTTGTTAGGAAAATAGCCGAGACACGTCGATACAATGTACATTTTTGTATGAATAGTTTACCCTTAATTTCCTCCCTTACTGGAGGGGAGCAACCCTTTCGAAAAATTTAAATGCCATGGGGTGGTGAGTGATAGCTCATTTGAAAGGGGGTTTTATTCTCTATTCAACCGTGCAAAAAATGTTGAAATTTGCTTCATTACCTGTTGATTTATTAATGTTTAAAAATAACAAAACATCACAAATAGGAAAGCAACTAAACTAACAGTGACCTTATCTAATGGCAAAAAGTCTTAATTCACGTCTGAACCAAAACCGATATCATGCAGGGCCGAATTTTAGTTATAAGGATGAGTGCGCTACGTTAATTTCCGTTATTCTGAAACAATAATTAGTCGAGAATTAATGAAGCAAATTTCAAAATTTTTGCACGGTTGAATAGAGAATAAAACTCCCTTTCAAATGAGCTATCACTCATCACCCCATGCCATTTAAATTTTTCGAAAGGGTTGCTCCCCTCCAGTAACGGATGAAATTAAGGGTAAACTATTCATACAAAAATGTACATTGTAGAAATCAAAAATCTCTCGGCGATTTTCCTAACAAGACTCCAGTAACGAGTTAGATAGGGGGAGTAAGACTTATGATGCTCACTGTATGTATTTATAGATGTTAATCAGAATCTAATTTGTTATTTTTGCGTAGGAAAGAGTTAGAAACCCTGCCAGAAGAAAGCCATCAACGAGAAGAGCACGACAGGAAGCTTTACGTGCGTCGATTATAGAAAGTGATGCTGTCGACGCGTCCTTACCACCGAAAGAAAAAAGCTCAGGTATAGTATAATAATTTTAAATTATTTGTTCCTCCTTTAAAATATCTAAAGAAGAAAATCCATGTATAAAATTGAATTGTGGCGCAGCTTCGGACAATCGCTTTGTTGAAAATAATTGTCATTGTTGTACAATAATGAACTAAAATAGTTGACAGAGTCAGAACTTTGCGGTCGAGGCCAGGCAATTTCGGTTAATCTCAAAAGATAATTTGGACAAGGTACACATACACATACTGTTTCACAAAGTAAAATAAATAACATAGTGGGACAAAAATAGGGGGTTCTTTATGTTAAGTGATTTTTTTTTTGTTGGTATTGCAACTATCTTTCAGCTAACCAGGAATTTGTCTTTATTATATAGTAGTTCACTCAAAGGCATCTTCTCCTTTCTTTTATTATGTTCCAACTACGCGCATTGTGTTGTACTTTTACACATCAATAATTCAAATGGTTGATCGTTTTGTGGTAATGGTTGCCCAGGAACTGTAAATCTTCAATATTAAGGTGCAACCTTTTTTCATGTTTATTGCAATGTTTTTCATCTCTTCTTCGATTCTAAGATCTCTGTGAATGTTGAGTTCCTTACAAACAAAACACAACCAAGATGCGTTTATTGTTGTCTTTAATATTTTGTCCTAGAGACGCGGTAAGAATCCTGAACCGAATTATTACTAATAGTAACGATTTCACAGGCGCAATAGTTAAAAAGCGTTCGCGGAACAAAAAGAACTAAACTATTGGTTCTGTCCTGCATTCGCGCTAAAATTATTATTGTTTTTGAACTGCTTGTCTATACCTGAAACTCAGAGATATAATAGGGATTGCGCGTGCGGTAAAATTCAGAATTGATAATGAATCAGGCATGCGTCCAAAGTATGAATTAGCAATTCTGAATCAGTTCAGGATTGTTACGGCGAACGAAGCTATTATGTATGCGATTTTTATTGGCCCATCTTCATAGCTGTATGTCAGTCCATACTGGTTTTAGTAATTGTTTATATATTTATCCACTATTCATTTATATAGAATCAATAAATTAAAAAAAAACTAGGTATATCTAAAAAAATAAGTATGTTAAATATCAAGCTATATAATTTGAAAAATTTTAGTTTTATGTTGAGTTCCCGACTGAAGCCAAATTCCCAAAGCAACTAGTTTATTTTATGAATTAGTAAAATTCAAATTCTTTGTGATTATTTTAAAAACGGTTATTTTATTTTAATAACCTAAAATTTAATTTTAATATTTAGTCATAGAAAAAAATAATAAACTGTACAAGAATGGATTATCTGTATTGCTCTCAGACATATTCACTCTCGTAACACAATAGTAACTTGTGCAATAGTGTGGAAACTCAATGGTAAAATTCTGAGTCGATGTGCTTCCATCTATCAAATTGGAGTGGTACTAAAATTCAATATGGCCGCCATGAGCGGGCTTTTTGAAATTTAACTTTGTAGTAGCGCAAAAGTGTAATGAAGAAAATCAAACAAAGCAAAAAAATTGGAAAAATACTTAAATAGTTTCAAATCATAAAACAGCCATATTGACTGTTTTGTGATTTGAAACTAGTCAAATATTTTGCCAATTTATTTCTTTATTTGATTTTACTTCATTATATTTTTGCATTAATTTCAAACTTGAAATAAAATGCAATTGATTTATTTTTTTTATTACAGTAAATTAACGCCGCATCATATAATTTGTCTATTTAAAAATGGAAATACTCAAACAAATATGCATTTTTCTTGTTTGATGTCAATGGCATTGAATCAATGTTTGATATTGATGGCTAAGGCTCAAATATTTTATCGATCGACAGGGTATTTTGGAGGGCCAACATTTTCTTTACAACAATGATCATTTAAAAACTGAAAACACAAAGAAATTTAAATAACAAACCAATTATTTTAACACTGAATCAAAAACAAGTTTGTAAATATTACTTACCGTTGGTGCCAAACAGTGATGGTACATTTTTCTTAAGACACTTATTACAAATTATTTGGTTATCCTGCACGACTGCATATTTAATGTGGTATAAATTGCATCACTACCAATATCTAGGAGTGCTTTATTGTTTTTTGGTGAAATCCATCTTCCCATCTTTTGAAAACATGCTTAAAATTGGAAGGTGTTGAAAAATAAATCTAGATTCTAGATGAATCAAAATTCAATACACCTTCAAATGCAATAGCCATTTTAATTTTGTTTGAAGTTTTGACGAGCTGACAACTGACATGACATTTCGATACGAGCGCCATCCCGTTAATTGGAGTGGTACTAAATTACCTACCTCATGTTTTTTCATTTGAGTTACCAGCCCCTGCGCATATCTCACGACCTGAATAACTTTAGACCTTGATGAAAAACTTCCAGAACTAAGGCATTCCAACGACCTGTCAAACTGCTGACAAGGGGGAACTGACATTTAGATATGGCAAACCTGTGAGCCTGTTGCCATTGACAGAGTCAATGATACATACATATAGATTGCTCAAAGCGGGTCGAAAAATATGGAAGATCAATCTATGTAACTATCTATTCCTTAGATAAAAGAAACAACAGATGATGCATTTCATTCATAAAGTATGTATTATTTTGTCCCAATCATCAGAGAAGAGAAAGAAGATATTTTATGCGGATCGAAAGAAGACAGACAGTAATCGAAAAATCTCGTCTGGCAACGCTAATGTTGTATGCAACTAAAAGTCTATTGATACCAGTGGCGTATCTTATTAAAGATAAAATCATAACTAATTATAAAAAAATAATGAAATACTAACCGATATGGTGTGCAATAAACTTTATAATGGTTTAAACTTTAAACCGATTGGATTTGGTATAAGGGTATGAAGTTCAGTGGAATTTAGGTAAAAAGCTTAAAAACACTATTTTTTTTCCAAGAATAATACATTTATTACATATAAAGATGTTAAATTAAATAAAATAAAAACAAGATAAATAAATCAAGATTTATTTTAAACAAATTTACGAATTCAATTTTGGGGTTGCGGTGCCGCGTTAAACAATATTAACTTCTCATTTATTCAATAAAAGAAAATCGAAAAATCGACAAATCGAAAAATAGAAAAATTGAAAAATCGAAACATCGAAAAATCAAAAAATCGAAAAACCGCCAATTCCATAACGAAAATAAACCTAACACCCCCCACTCCAACCGGCACAGCGGTGCGGCGTTGAAAGCCGTGCATCATCTAACGTCGTTTCAGTTCGGCAGACTTCGGCACGGTGTTTGTGTGCGTGCGACTAGACGTATGCGTGTAGACTAGCTGCTAACTGCTCATAACTGATTATATCTCTTTTAAACACAATTTCGGAAATTGAATTTGAAAATGAATAATGATCCACATGAATCCACAACAAAATATGGGACCACCATTGACGCGGTATTTTCCAGATACTTAGAGGATATCAAGTCTCAAACTTATGTTTCTTATTTCAGTTACCATAAACCTATAGTTTCAATGATAAAAATTCCTGAATAACCTACATGTATTGTAAGATAATACAAATATTTTAAACAATATTAACTTCTCATTTATTCAATAAAAGAAAAAAATGTTTTCTTATCGGTCACCACGCTCAAAAAGTGTAACTTGAATTAATATCAAAGAAAAAACTTGAATTAATATCAAAGAAAAAATACTGCATAAATAAAATAAATAAATAATTATAATTGCATAAGTTGATAAAAAATGTTATGCAATAGCTTTACCGCGGCAGTCCCCGAGTGCCACCGTTATTTTTTTATCAGATTTGACTATGAAGTACAATATAGAGCCTCCGCGAAACATTAAAACGCCGATTATTTATCAAGATTTCCAGTAGAAATAGTAAAAGAAACATCAAAAGACCAACATTGCAGTTTTCAATTACAACAGATTAACATCTTTGAAGTTCGACCAGAAGTCATAGCTACCGAAACAAGGAATGACGATGAACTAAAGATTTTACTAAAAACATTGCAAACTGGACGCTCATTACGTCAGCACGGTTACAATGACAATGAACTAACACTCCAAGATAACTGTATACTTAAGGGGACGCGAGTAGTAATACCGCAGAGTTTACGTGTACTTGATGAACTTCATGCCGGACACATTGGTATTTTAAAAATGAAATTACTATCACGCAGCTACGTATATTGGAAAAACAAAGACATCGAAAACAAAGTAAAATCCTGCAGAGCGGGCAGATTAGAACAGAATGAGCCATCGAAACCTCCTTTACATCACTGGGAACTGCCTAGTGGACCCTGGCAAAGACTACACATAGATTTTGCTGAGCCTCTCCTAGGACATCAACTTCTGATTATTGTGGATGCTTTCACAAAATGGGTAGAAATTTTTCCCACGAAAACTACCACGAGCTCATGGTGCATTCTTAAGTTCAAGGAGATATTTTGCACATTCGGCACACCTTACGCAATTGTATCGAATAATGGACGGCAGTTTGTATCACACGAATTTAAAAACTACCTTTCAAGCTGCGGGGTTACGCACGTGACGTCCGCTCCGTACCACCCAGCTACAAACGGCCAGGCCGAACGCTATGTACAAACTATAAAAAAATCGCTTAGCGCGATGGAGAGCGAGAAAGGCAACTTAACGGATAAGCTCCTTATCCTTAAGACTAGACTCAGGCGAACACAGAGCCAGAACAGTCAAACTCCTTATGAACTAATGTTCAAAAGGGACGTTAGAACTAAGATGCACGTGATGTTCAGACGTTCATCACCTCCAACAGCGTCTAGACCCGACAACGCTTCCCCAACCGTCAGAACTTACTCAGTAGGTGACCGTGTCCAAGCCAGAACCTGCTCCAACCCGAAGCGGAAATGTGAGTTCGGCACAGTGGCGCGCCGGCATGGTCGACTACACCATGAAATACAGACCGATGGTGGCGTTGTTTGGCGTAGGCATTTCGAGCAGTTGTTACCAGCTCCGGGAGTGCGGCATCCAGGAATCGCGGTGGAGGATTGTCATGTACTAACCGCCACGGTAACGGATAGGAAAGCTGTCAGACTGACGCGACGTTAGAATAATTAATGTTAACTCACTGTTAAAATAATTTTTACAATAAATAATATTTCATGTTTAATGTGTATGTAATAGTTTGGAAGGCCATCATTCATTAAAATCTCTTTATTTATAATTAATCTATATACATGTTATTGGATAAGATATAAACGCATGATGATATATTTCACACTCGCGGAAACACGAATCGAAGCATCTTCATGTGCCCGGCTGCCTGTGCTCGACGCCCTAGCCCGAAATACCTAGGATCCAACTCATAAATTCGGATTTAAACGGCAATATTGGTGGGTTTTGCGATCAAAAATTGAATTTAATGTCTGTTTTTGTGGGAATTTAATTGTGATTGTCTTCCCTGGGAAAAACTTTGAAAAACCAGGGTTGTCCTTGTTTGTATGTGCGTCATTTGTATAGTCTATACTTTTACTTTCAAAATCTCTTTATTTACATTATATACATCAATTATTAGTAATAACATTTCATACTATATATATTGCAGCAGAATATATTCTTAAAGCCATCTCCAGGAAGTATTTCAACTGCTATGGCCCCAAACGCGGCCATGACCGGTGTCGTGGTCGTAGTACAAAATATTATAACGTCTATTTTTGGTTCAACGTGACCTCTCCTTATTTATTCAAATATTATAGGTCAATTTCGGCTGCTAGTCAGATCGGTAATTGTAAAGTGGTAAGTTTTTGTATGATTTTAATTATGTCTATTTCCCTGAAAAAACAGGGTTGTCCTTGTATGTGTGTGTGTACAGTTGTTGTTTCAGTGTGTGAATTAGCCAAAACACAAGACTACACGAAAGCTCCACTTCCCAGCACTGAAATCAAGGCGAGCCCCGAGTTTCAGCATTGGGCCGTGACGTCATCGTGCAGTCTTCCGTCCGACTGTAGTTGTAGACTAGTCGTCGTTGTGTTTTGACCATTCAGTGGGATTTGTATTGTCGAGAAGGATACTAATGAAATTTTACTGTTTTCTGACTACTATGTCCGTAAAGTGTGCATTGTGCAGTCATTCAGATCCCTGCCCACACCCACTTCCCGGAATTCGTGAGAAAACCGAGAAAAGGTGCGTCTGCAGTAGTCTAAATAGCCGCACAAGCCTTTTGTAATGTCTTTTAAAAAGGCTACTAAATTTAATGTGTGTGTGTGTGTCTAATTTCTTAAATTGAAGTTAATGTCAATGTTTACCATGAACGCGTTGTACGTCTCAAATATTTCTTGTCCATTTTTACAATTTACTAGTTTTGCGTTCAAGGCTCTTACCGCTCTGATTAGCTCACCGATATTGATTATTTTGTTGAGTTGCGCGAATTCGTGATTTAATGCCATGACGTCGTTCATGGCCGTGCCTGGGGTGGTTAGTCTTGGACTTTCCTGTAGAGGGGTTTCCTGTTGTGTAGAATTTCTGTTAATTCTCGATGGAAGGGCTGGGAAATCTTCATTTCTTGTGAAGTTCTGTCTCCTCGTCTCCCATTGGTTGAGAACTGGCTGGGGGGCGGGTACACATTTTGGTTTGGGTCGTTTTTCTTCATTTCTTTCGATTTTTGCCATGTAACTTTGGCATTTGGTATAATTTGCGGGGTGATCACCCCCACAGTTAGCACATGTGGCCAGAGTTTCTCGTGTTTTAGCACAGATGCTAGTCAGGTGATCACTCGCACATTTGAGGCACCTGGAGGGCCTACCGCAATTGGCTGTTGCGTGTCCCCATTGCTGGCAATTATGACACTGGATAATAGGTTTAGTGGATTTTCTTAGTTCCCATTGAACTCTTGTATATAAAACTCTTCTTATGTTTTTGTTGAAGTAGTCCAGTGTCATTACTAGATCCATAATTACCAGGAACAGGGGACGCTCCTTGGTTCTCATTTGATATATTGCCTTTATTTTTATATCGTGTTCGTCCTCCAGGTTCTCTTCTATATCTGACAGTTTTGTACCCTCTGCTAGCCCTCTCAGCACAAAAGCATGGGTTTTATTCTCTCTGGCTGTGTATGTATGATACGCTATTTTTTCATTTTTAATGTTAGCTAGTACGCTTGCGTGGTCTTCTTTATTTTCTACGAATATGATGGTGGTATAGTTGGTGTGTTTCAATCTAAATTCCCCTTTTATTAGCCCTTTTAGATCGTTGATTAGAGTATTATGATTGGTGGTTTTGCTATCTACGACAATAGGCGGCATAGTACTCTTTTTGTGTCCTGCTGTTCCGGTGTTCTGTTTATATGTTTTGTTGTCGCTCGTATTGTTTTTTATGTTACATTCTTTAACCGTAATGGGAATATCATCAACGTTTAGAGGCTTGTAATGTTTGCCTTTTTTACGTTTTTTACTTATTTTACCGATGTCATCCTCGCTATCGGAGTCAGATTCATCAGTTAATACTTGAAATGTATTCTTTGTGGGGGTTAGCGTCTGTTTCGTCTTTTCTCTAACCATTTTGTGGAAATTGGAGGAGAATTTGCGTGGAAATTGGAAATCTTCTCCTTCTGTGTTATTTCCTTGCTGTCCTTCTTCTGCCTCAGTGACTTGTTCATAAGCATCTTTGTTATCCTTGTTTTTGAGTTCATCTCGTCTGTTTGAGGTGTGTGCAAGGTTACTAGCTCTTCTTTGTTTCTCATCATCTGATGTATGACTGTTCGAGTCATATATTATTAGGATATTCTTAGTGATATTGCGGAGAATATCACTATTATTTTTCTCTGACTTTAATCTGGGGTCACTGTTTACTCGGGTTAACCTCTGTGGATTTTTAATTATTGTGGGGGTTAGTGTGTGGGCTGTAGACACTGCTTGTTTTGTGACTGGGGGTGTGGGTAAGTACCCAACGGAGAAGCTACTCAATTCACCTCCCGATTGAGCATTTACCACACCGCCAGTTGTTGGCTTAAATGTGTTCTCACTGTAGTCATTAGTTCTGAAGTCAAGTAGTTTCTTTATGACTTTTGGGGGTAGTGCTAGATTTTTGCGCTGTTTAGCAGCGGAGTTTGATTCCTTGTCAGCATTTTTATTCGGTTTTTCAGTCTCCATAATGTCCATGTCACTATAGCTCGATTCAAGAACTTCTAACAGGTTTTTAACTGTTTTGTATTCATTAGTGTTAATGTTAATGTCTGGGCTCTCCTGGCTGTCATGAAATTCCTCAGAATCAGGTGAGGATGGCTTTCTGGGGGTAGTTTCAAGTTCCTCTGAAGTTCTGTCTCTTTGACTGAGACTACATGTGTTTGGAGGTCACTTGGAGGTGAATCCTCGAAAATTTTGGCCTGGGGGCCCCCTGTATCGGGCAGCTGATCCCAGGGTTATTTGTTAGTTTGTTACTTGGTTTTTTACTCACAGTTTTTGTTCTGTTTTGTAGCTTAGCCGTTTTGTATGGGCTACCAAAGGAAATATTGGTTACTTGTTGTAATTTTTCAAGATCTTCCTGTTTGAATCGGCATCTGTTCTTTATCCGTTTAGTGTATAGAGTTTTGAAGTCTTTTGGCGTTGGAGGAGGCCCGGCGGTGGGCTCCGACATTCACTTCTGAATGCCGATGCTTTGGATTGTACTAACCTGGCGTGAGAATTAACCTTTGAAAATTGTAAAAATGATCGACAAATTTTGCCGACAAGTGACGTTTGGGATTTACTAAATTGTACGGGTACGTAGGCAACTGCTTCCTAGACGAGTTCTAGGTGTATTTGTATAGTCTATGTCTGTGTATAATTATTTTACTCGACTCTGAACGGTGAGATCCATGCAGTCTTCCGTCGGACTAGCATGTTTGAGTACTTGTCCTAGTAAAATAGTTATTTAGTGGATTTGTCGCAGTGAGAAGGGTGTAATACGTATGTTGTTAATTGTCCCGTCTGTAAAGGTCTAGCTTCTCATGTAAGCATCCATGCCTCCTATCTCCGGCATTCCCGCTGTGCTGAGATAGAATGTCTTCCTTTACGTTGTCCGGGAGACTGTGTGTATAAAATTTCTCTGCTACAGCTGCAATGTAATCCTTAACAGTAGGCATGGATGTTTCGTCGTGCATGTCTGTGATTCTGGCGTAGCGGTCGTACCCCAGGGCCAGCCGAAGACACCTGTTTTGAACTCTCTGGAGTTTCTGAATGTGACTGTGCGCTATAGAGCAGTAAACTGGAGATCCATACGTTAAAATAGGCCGGATAATTTGTTTATAGAGTAATATCTTATTACTACGAGTAACTCCACTACGTCTATGAAGCATGGGGTAGAGTATGCGAATCATAGCCGTAGCTTTGTTAACTCGCTCATCGATGTGATTTTTGAACGTTAGTCCCCTGTCTAGTACAATACCTAAATATTTTATTTTGTTGGCCGTGGTTATATTATTTTGATGGACTTTCAGGTGCGTTATAAGTTTGTTCGACCTCATTTTTGTAAGTAAAACCGCTTCTGTTTTCAACGGGTTAATTTTTATTTTGTTTTTGTCCAGGTAGGGGACTAACTTTCTGTTAGTGTGGATCTCCAGTCTTCTCATAGCGATTTTGGCTGATACAGAAGATTTGAAAATGCAGGTATCGTCGGCGTACAGCGCCGTCTGTATACCATTTAGTCCCATGGGTATGCCATGGGTCATAATAGTATACAGGTGGGGCGAGAGTACCGAACCTTGAGGTACTCCCGCTCTGGCAGTGTATGGTCTAGTAATGGTGTCATTTATTTTAATGTGGAATGTTCTGTTATGTAGGTAGCTTAGAGTTGTTTTCACAATGTACACAGGGTAATCCTTCACAAACATTTTATAGATTAGACCGTCAGTCCAAACCGTGTCGAAGGCTTTTGCAGCATCTAGCGCAACCAGTACTGTTAATTGATTCCAGGGTTTTTCTCCACTTTTGGTTTCTATGTTCGAGGATAAGTTTGTTACGGCCATATGCACCATTCTTCTGTTAATAGTTATCAGAGAGTTAACTACATAACTGACTGTTAAATTGACAATTTTATATTCACCATTACAAAATACGACTAACAATCTGTTAAAGGCGTTGTTAATGTAACAAACCAAATTTGGCCTGTTAATTTTACTTATCAGACTATTTTAATTTTACTTGTTTATTTTGAAGGGCTATGTAAGGTTTTATAGGATATGAACAGTAATATATACGTAACAGACTGATTTCTTACTGAAACTGGTAAATAGATGGTACATAGATGGTGCATAGCAAATTCTGTTAACACACTGTTATTTTTTATACTACTGTTAGATAACAGAAGACTTAGCTGGACAATGGTGCATATGGCCGTTAATGTGTTTACCTATGTCGTGGAGTCGAACCCTGTCATCATCCTGTCTGTGTTGCTGCCAGCGTCTGCGTATTTGGTTTTTGTTGGTGATTAAGTCTAGAATGTTTTGTGGTAGGTTATCCTGGTATGGTCCGTGTGTTTTGGTTTTAGTTGAGGCGTCTCTGGCCTTAATGATTGCGGTGGTTAGTTTTTGTATTTCCTCGTCAAGTATGTGTTCGTTTGTGATGTTGTTTATTTCAATGTTTCTGTCTAGTGTTTGTCTGTAAAGCCTCCAGTTTGTGTTTTTATAGTCAAGATACTTACCCTGTGTTCTGTCTATTTTGTGGTTAGTTTTTAGTTCAAGATACACAGGGTCGTGGTCCGATGTCAGTGTTTTGATTGTTGTAATGTTTTGTATGTTAGGTAGGTTTTTGGCCACGGCTATGTCAAGTGTACTCGGTGTCATGCCACTGTAGGGGTAGTGTGTAGGTTCGTCCGTGTAATGTATGATGTAGTCATGCGTTTCGGCGAACCCGTCCAGGATTCTCCCGCTGTGATTGGGGACAGTGCAATTTGAGTCCCAGTGTGGATGTTTGGCATTGAGATCGCCCATCAGTAGGACTCTGTTACCCAGCGTCATTAATGAGTGCAGTTCCAAGGGAGTGAGGTTGTTACAAGGGTGATTGTATGCTCCAATAATTATAATATTATGCATTTTAATGATAATGTGTTCGAATGACACATCAAGGTTATTCTGTAGTTCGAACGTGAGAGAATTTTTGATAATGAAAGCTATCCCCCCACCTCTGTGAGTCAATCTGTCCTGTCGTATTACGTGATAGTCTTTGATTTTGAGTTTGTGGGCGGGTTTTAGGTTAGTCTCTGAAATAAGTATAATACCAAACCTATGTTTGTGAATGAAACTGCTTACCATGGGTTTTTTGTTAAGCATCCCGTTTACATTGAAAAAACAGATTCTAAGCGTGTCTGTTTTGCCGCCGTGTAGTTCAGTTTCTAAAATTGTAGTTATCTAAGTCTGAAACGAAGTCATAGTATGTGGTGAAAAATTCCGCGTTAGTCTGACAGTGTAAAAGCCTAGTGTTTAGTTCGCGAACGGCTTTGATAAGTTCACCAATATTGACCAATTTACCTAATTTCTGAAATTCGGTGTTTAAGGCTAGGATGTCGTTCATTGGAGCTGGACGAATGCTGGTGGCGTGGCTTGCTGTGGATATAGTCTCACGTCTGTGGGCCGGCTGTTCAGTGTTCGTGTTGTTGTTGCTGTTGCCCGGTAGGGCTGGGAAATCTTCGTGGCTTTGGATTCTGGCTCGCCGGCGGTCCCATACACTTGCGGTGGGGGCCGGTGCAGGGATGACTTTGGTTTATTTTGTGTGCTTTTCATTATTTTTTCTTGAAGTCTATCTAGACGTTCCGTGTAGAATCTACATTTACTATAATTTGCAGGATGGTCCAGTCCGCAGTTTGCACATGTGGCGGCCGTATCACGGCTTTTGGTACATGTGCGGGTGTGATGGTCACCAGCACATTTCAGGCAGCGGGGTGGCCTCCCGCAATTTGACGTGGCGTGTCCCCAAAGTTGACAATTGTCACTGAATTATCTCTTTGACGGACTTCCTCAATTCCCATATTACACGGGTATATAGCACTCTGCGTGCATTTTTATTGAGATAATCCAGTATCAGGGACGGGTCGGTGACAACTAGATATAGAGGGCGGTTTTGGTGTTCATCCTGAATATGTTACGGACCTTAATATCATATTCGGCCACCAGATCATCCTCGATGTGCTGTGTTTGTGTGCCTTCGGCTAGTTTGGACGGCCTAATTGACACCTAAAACCCTTATAAATATGTCCCTCTTATGGTATTCAATACGCTAGTTCAGTGTGATGTCATTTTGGTTCCACTGACATTTAATTCTAACCAAACTTTTAACAAAAACATCAATAAATTTGACATATACGTTTTTACTGTTTTTAGTTTATTTCTAAATATTGTTTACAGGTCATAAAAATAGTTTAAAGGTATGTACATTGGTAACTAAACGATTGTATATTTGATGCATGTTATCTACTTACTTTAGGAATATATTTATAAAAGTGAAAACACGATATAATTTAGGTAAATAAAACGAACAAAACGCACTCAAAAAATCTACTGTCACTTTGTCAGTGGAACCATAATTACATCATCACTGAACCAGCGTATTCCTTGATGAATTTAGAGTGTCATTTTCAAAAATCACTTTTCAACTATAAAAGTCATCAATGGAAGCAAAAGTATATTTTTTTTCTTCAACTGCAGTATCATGAATTTCTCTATAATGCAGCAGTAAGGTTTTTTTGTCCGAAAAATAATTACACAATGCACATTTGTATTTTTTTAACACAAACTGTTGCATTGTGTATCTTCAAATGCCAGTCAAATTTGTTCTATACATGAACTTTCTGGGACACTGATTATACAAAATTGATAGTTTGTATCTTCTTTTGAAAACGTTTTTGTTTCACATGTAGTCTTTTCATGTGTTGCCTTAAATTTGAAAAAAATAAATTTTTTTACACAAATCACAAGGTTTTTTTTACATGTCAATCTACTGAACCTTCGGCATGAAATCTTCTTATGCTTTTTTAGATTAAAGGGGCCACTGAAAGTTTTATCACAAAAATCATAAAAATTAAGTTTCTTCTCTTTAATATTTTTTATTTGTAAAAACTTCAAATATGAATTATCTTCAGGATGAAATATGTTTTTTAAATTCGACAAATATATTAAAAAAAAAAAATGAAATTAGGCAATTTTATCATATAAGTAGCTTACCTTTTTTTAAACGGAAAACCAAATTTTAGTAAAAACTTAATAACAGGGTCCCAGGTCAGATATAGCCTGATCGCACAATCTAAAACTTACACCTATTTTAAAATGTTTAATTACTAAAGAAAACAACAAAAGCACACCGTATATATTGCAACTTGCGTTTAACTTGTTTAGTTGTAACACATCGCCATCTATTTTGAATTGTCATAAGTGTTGGAGTCTCAGAAAGAATTGATACCAAAATAGAGTCTCCATCAGGTGGTAGTCTCTTTTCAACTTCAAACCAATATTAGCATTGGACTGACCTACTAGTTATATTTATACAATGGTGTTAGTGATGAGCGATATCGTGATTTTTTAGTAACAACGTTATTTATTACGGTTATTTTTAAATATCAGTTATTTTAAGTCGTGACGTGATCACGGTTTTAAATTACATTTCCACTGATACTGATATATAAGGATAAACACAAATATTAAACTAATAACTGATGTAGTGACAAACTACAAACTAAAAGACATTTGACACCTTGACGCACCGACTAAACTCCTATAAAATTTTGAAGAACACTTCGCTCCTGTCCCACTCCTCTAAACTAATAACCGAACGCCCCTAAATATATCCTATGAATTCATTATTTTAAAGATAGTCTCTCAGACACAACGATTTCGTCGGTGTGGAAAGAATTCGTACGGATTTTTCCGTGCGTCGTTGATAGTAAACTAATAAAATTAACTGCAGCTTTATACTGGACGAAGACAGATTTTTTTTCCATACGGTCGATTTGAAAACAGCCCTGTTAACGACTGAATTGTAAGGTACCATACCGTCTATCAGTGGCCTATGTTACTTTATGCAGGCTTTCATATATGACGATTTTTAGTCGTTGTTGAATGCAGTTTGGTTTTCGTTTATCATAAATATTTTGTATTTTGATTTACGCGTCAGTATGACCATGAACGAAAATATTATAAACTATATAGTAGTTTGACATATTAAATTTTTTTTATTATTATTTGATTTTGTAATTAATAAACTAGTAACGAAACAAACATAAATCTCTTTTACTTCAGTGGTATAATAGTAAAATGAGAAACTGCATTGAACCCATGGAAATGATAGTTGTAAATCTTCCATTAACCAAATGAATGTGCCCTTTTCATCTCTTTTCTGATTAATTGGGTGCATACAGTATATACGATTATGTCGTTTCCGATACTTTTGTATATGACGGTACAAAAGCCACATGGCAATGGTGCGCTTTCGATTCATATCGATAACCAACTCACATAAAATACAATAACCAAAGACACAAACGATTAATAGTCTACATCCTATTCTAATGTATGTGGTTAGACGCGCCGTGCGAGGTTTCTAAACGTACTCCATGTCTGGCAGTCTGGCTCCGAGATGCGATGTTGCCATTTTTACGAAAATCGTCTTTAACTGTTGGTCTCCGATAATTAGCTATTTAGCTGCCAAAACATTTTTTGACTAGGGTGTTGTTTATGATTTCAATATTCAATATACGGGGATACATTTAAAAACTTGGAAAGGCTATAAGCTCATGAATAAAAGATAATATCAGAAAAGTAAAACCTAATAAAAACAATTTATTTTGTACTGCTGGATTAGAAATATTTAAATCATAAATATGCCATCTTCATAGTCATTAAAAATAGGCGCAGTTTATATTTTATAAATAAATACTTTTCATCTAAAACTTTTGTTTTTACTATAATTTGTACATCTTTGAATTTTTTGTTATTATACTCGGAATCTTATAATTTATATTTTGGTCTAATAGGAGGTGGTTTGTACAAATATTATATTCTATCATTAAAAATAGGCGCAGTTTATATTTTATAAATAAATACTTTTCATCTAAAACTTTTGTTTTTACTATAATTTGTACATCTTTGAATTTTTTATTATACTCGGAATCTTAGAATTTATATTTTGGTCTAATAGGAGGTGGTTTGTACAAATATTATATTCTATATAGTGTATTTTAGATTAGCTTATATTTATTTTTTATTAAAATTGTAGCAAAAACTGTTTCGGCCTTCCTCAGCGTTATACTAGACGGACAGTTTTTTGACTGCCAGAAAAGGTGTTCTTTCTTCCGATATTTAAAATATTCAACGGATTGTCAAACGACAATCTTAACTTCCTGAATTGCGATTCTAAATTAGACCTTTTGTCGTTTTTGAAATTAGCCAGGCTTCCCGTGACAAAAACATTAAATAGAAAAGTGAAGTAAACCGAATTCAAATAATATTTTATTCAGTTTCTCCGTTAACGATATTATGTTATGAAACACAAATATTCTGCACTTTGCAAATTTACGATTTTGATGCAAAGTACTTAGTTTTATGAAATAGGCCAGTGATTACATTGATTATTTCTATCATGCAATTTGTTGAAAATAGTGTGTGGTCAATTAATATACCTACAAAAAAGTGACAAAAATCATTTAAAAAATTATTAATAAAAATGTTGAAATATTTTCAATAATTATGATCTAAAAGAGGATCATATAATCATATAATTATTGGTTGCTTATCACGGCCTGCCCGGTTAAATTTATTGATATTTGGGTTCCTCAGAAGGTATTTCATAATGTCCATGGTAGGTACAATTCCTCACGTTTACTCCGCCACCTACCTATAATACAGCAGTTGTTGTAAAATGCAGGAATTATTGAAGGAATAGCTAAAATAAAACAATATAAACTTACCTGCTTTTAATCAATATCCTTGAAAACGTGTACACAAATGAGTATGGTAGAACGACGTACACAACAATGCCACAACAGACTACCCAATACACGCATACGCACGAGTAGAAATGAGAAAAGAACGTAGCCCTAGTATGCCATGTTTCATCCTCCTTATCAAATAGTTCCGTGTGTAAAGGTATACATTATACATATTATTTACTTGTCTACTAGCGTATCGCCAACTGGAAATATGCGTGTAGGGTAAATTATGTTTAAAAGTATAATATACAATAACTAGTATCTACAAAAAAAAACCGTTTAATTTATCCGTTAAAAAACGTCAAGTATAAAAATAGTAGAAGGTAAACGTTTACGAAATCAACCAAGACGAAATTTAAACAACAGTTATTAACAAAATATACATATTATATTACATAAATTTATACGAATTTAATTTAAATAAATCTAAACGTATATTTAGGCACACTGTCTACAAATCGTTCATCGCAAACTAAAAACAATCGTATATTGTTAACTATATTTAAACGTAGAATAATATACCATAGGACGTATAAAAAACGTATATCATTTAAAAAACGGTATGTATAATAATCGTAAACTGTAAACGTATACGGAATCAACCAATACAAAATTTAAACGTTAATTATACCAATTTGTGCTGCCTGAGAACATTCATGCATTTATAAAATTACCTAAAAAATCATCTTACCTGTATAACGTGGAACGAAGGATTAACATGAAAATAGTTCGTTTTTGTTACAAACAAAACACTGTTACAGGCATATTTAATGACTTATAAACAAACAACTAAAAAACACTTCACAACAAAAATAGCTGCAACCAACAAGGCTCGAAGGAAATTTATTAAGAGAAAGGATTTGAGTTTTACGACCCTCTTACAAACAGCTAACTAATCTTAAGTTTTCGCGAATTAAAAATGATGGTTTATTTTATTTATACTCTTTCAATCATGATAACAGACTAAGAGGTCATCAATTTAAATTTAAAAAAGAAAATTATATGATTAAATAGAGACAATATTTTTAACAAACAGGACCTATGAAGTATGCAACAACTTGTTAATGTTATAAACTTTTTATGAACAATTAATTTAATTATTAATACTATTTTTTACAAGTCTTTGTCAATTGTTAGGCTACATAGAACCTAGTTATCAGCCTTTAATTCTGTAATAATAATAATAATGTATTTATTGTTTTAGATCACAGTTTCGAAATACCACAAACAGAAGAGAAACCTCTTTCTACCAACAACAATCACCAAAAAGATTTGTCTCCAGAAAAAGAAAAACCGAATACCGTATTAGAAAAAAACTCAGAAATACCTCGGTTTCCTCTAGTAACAAAGACTGAACTCGAGAAAAAACTCTTAAGTAAACCAGCTGCCAAAATAAATTTATTCGATTCGGAAAGCGAGTCTGAGCAAGCGGACGACATGTTTGTGGGATCCACTCAAAACAAAACAAATGTTGAAAGTAAAACGGATAACTTTGAGAGCACAGATAACACTTCTAAAGTCAAAGATGTTTTATTCGATGACAAATCAACAAAAGAGGATGATGACCTATTTGGTACAGCAGAATCAAAGAAGAGCGTTGTCGAAAGCAAATCAAAAGACGATATTTTCAAGTCTACGAGTCTGAAAGATGTGAAGCTTGAAGATAATCTTAAAATGGATAAAGATAAATCGAAAAAATCTTTATTTGATGATAGTTCCAGTGATGATGATCTGTTCGTGGGAAGTAATAAAAGCAAAAAAACAGGTACGATTTAATGACATTCTTAAAAACCTCACTATAGTTATAAATTAGTTAAATCTAACTTACACTAAATTAATACAATTTACTCACCTACATTTGAAAAAAAATATCACCTACATTTAAAAACAAAAATAGACTGACATTTATGGTAACATAACCTAATTTATTTTCAAAGCCAGATTTACACCATCTCATAATATTTAAATTTTACTTAAAATTTACATTTATTAACGATTATCCCTGTATTTAATCACACATTATTTTAAAGGGGTAAATCAGTAAAATTATTGATTTCTTTGTCATTATTTTTGAAAACATTTTTTTATGGGTGTAAAACGCGTTTAAATTTAGTGATAGCAGCGCGCTAAGCGCTTACGGAAACAAGTCTCGCCATTTATTCAAACCTTCTCTTTTTATTTTTCTATGGCCATCCACTTCTTCATGGTAGTGTAGTCTTTTGTTTTCTTTGACTCGAACATTAATAAATCATCTGGCAACAATCCATCGGTGCTTCCAATGTGGGTTATTATTAAACCATTTCCTTTTCCTGTTAGATTTTTTAATCCACAAGAGACATCTTCCATAGACTTGTTTTTTAGTTTTGATTGAGATATCTTGCCAAACTTTTGTTACTGTATGTCCAGCATTAACACATGTTTCATCTAAATAAAATACCATTCTGCTGATTCCTTACGTCCGCTATTTTTCTCAAAAAATCTTGACTCCACGCAATGATTTCATCTTTCTCTGTTAAAAAGCTGTTTCTGTCACGTTTTTTGTAACGAAAATTTAATTCATGTAATAATTTTTGCAGATGAAAATATGATATATTTGGAAGAGTGGGGCTATTTTCTATTTCCGAGTGTAACTTTTTGAGTGTAGGAGTTTAATTTCAAAAGAAAGTACCATTTGCCTTATCATTCTTTTCCCAAATTTCAATAAAGGTCTTGTTTCTTCCTGGGGGCTTTTTCGGATGTGAGACTTCTCTTCTTTAATGTTATACACTGTCCGCTTAGATACTGGAGTATAGGTCTCTCACATTTAGTGGCTATTTAATTCACATAAAGTGAAACAAAGTATTTTCGAAGATTATTAAATACAATAAGTACGATATTTTTTTCTTCTAAAGATAATGCTTTATGTCCACTAGGTCGCTTACGGGTACTTGTACTTGCAATATTTTCTAATGCACTCGGCATTCTTATATAACTGTAAAATTATATACTAATACAAAATTCCGAATCAATACATACGATAAATAAAGTCTGACTTATCTGTCATAGGAAAAGGTTTATTACAGTAAAAACCATGGAAACGAGATAACATCTAAACGAAAACTTTTATTAGGCCGATCAGATGTATTAAAATTTTCATTTTAACTACAAATAAGCATTGAAGGATGAGGTATAAATAAAATGTTTACTTCTTGAATCTGTTCTACGTTCTGTATATTAAATTATTGCACTCCTTTCTTCTCTCATAGTCCCATTGTGAAAATAAAATATTAATTGTATTGGTATGTTTTTCAGAAATCATGACAAAGCCTGTCGAAAAGAAAATAAAAGCGAAAGTAAAGAAACTCGAAAATGTCGAAACTACCGATGATCCGCTGTCAAATTTGTTAAATTAATCTTAGCCTAATTTGTTACACGTTAAAATGTGATATATAAAAAAGTTATTCCGAATATTGTTTTTTTTATATATATAAATTATGCTTGATATTAAAATATGTATAAAGTTTTAGTCAAAAAATATATTGTTAAATATTCCTATCAAAACTTTTATTAATTCACACTTTAGCAAGTTGTATAAATTATCCTGTAGATTGCCAGATTACAATATGACGGTCCTGGAACATTCAGAGAAATAGTATAAAAAAAATCGAACTGTGTTGATGTGAACCCATCTTATATTAAACAAAGGAACATTATGCACTTGAAAGATCAAATTATAAATCGCTCTAGTGATACACTCTCCTCATCTATGTACAATGTATTGAAGAGCTTTGTTTCAAAACTGCTGGCGTAATACGCTAGCTCGGTATGATGTCATTTTGGTTCCACTGACATTTAATTCTAACCAAACATTTAACAAAAACATCAATAAATTTGACATATACGTTTTTACTATTTTTAGTTTATTTCTAAATATTGTTTACATGTCATAAAAAATAGTTCAAAGATATGTAATTGGTAACTAAAAGATTTTATATTGTTTTATTAAATTTAAACAATTAGTAAAAGACGCTTATGATATTATATGTGTTACTAAAACATGGCTAAATAACCCTATTGATTCAAATGTAATTTCTTTTGAAGATTATAATTTTTATAGGGAAGATAGACCAAATAGAACAGGTGGTGGTGTTGGTTGTTACGTAAGGTCAACTCTTTACTGTAAGACTGTTAATTGTTATACAAATAATATAAGTTTTGATTGCCTTTTCCTGAAATTTAAAACTAGAAATTACAATGTTGCTCGAGTAGTTATTTATCGTCTTCCGAATTCGAGCCTTATCGAATTCTTTGATTTCATAAATGATATTCTTCCTCAATTACTTTCTGAACTTTTACTTTTAAATTCTTTATTCAATGTTTAAAAATTTTTACAACACAATAAATCAACATATAAATAAAAACACACTGTACGCAGTACAGATGTGCGACCCTAAAAGTAAACCCTTAAGGCCTAAGGCGATCCCTCCGCCTGTTACATGCCGTATACTTTATGTATTATGATTATGCTAAATATAGCCGCCCTTACTCCTTACCCTTGGGGTATTATTAAGGGATTATGTGGGATTGTGATCGGGAATTGTAGGTAGTTGTAAGTGTGCCGTGTTTTAATTTCGTATTGTCCCCTGAAAAAGCTAGAAAAAACAGGGTTGTCGTTTGTGGTAAGTGGTCCTGTATTAGTCTGTGTCTTGTTGTCATAATTCACTGGGAGGGTGGGCTATAAACTGCCCGGGAGCGCCTCGGTCGATTGCGAAAATTCGTTTCGTTTCAAAAGTCCTTTATTTACATTATATACAATTTTTTTTGTAATACATACTATGTACATTAAAATAATAACAAAAGGATTTCTTCTCAGCAGTGTGAAGTATTCTCTTCTGTTTGATCCACGTAGTGGGACCATGGCCGATGTCCAAGCCGTGCACATAATAAGTGATTACTTAATATTTTGAGTGTTCTAGCTTCTCCTTGTCGTAAAACAACATTATAAGCTAATATTGGCTACTTACTAGATCGGTAATGGGATAGTATTGGGTTTTTGTGAGAATTTAATTATGTCTGTATTTCCCTGAAAAACCGTTTGTAAAGAAGAGAGAGAAGAAAGTTTTATTTACACTATTTACAAATAAAATATTTACATCTACATATATTATAGTACGGCGTCGAAAGAACGTTGCCTCTGTCCTCCAGCGTGGCAGGAGAAGTATGGGCGACGTCTCGTACCGTTATCACAGATGCAGAATGTTTATATGTTGAATTTTAGTGTGCCATCTCCTTATTACTAGTAATACTATATGGCATTTTTGATTGTTTAGTGTGCGTCGGTAATTGAACTTAACTCATGGAAGATTTGTCTTTTGTTAGTTATGTTTAGTTTCCCTGAAAAAGCGTAGAAAAAACAGGGTTGTCCTTGTGTTTGTCTGGTTGTCCGTATAGTTTATGGCTATTCTGTGCAAATCCATGAACTACACTCAAACTCAAAAATTTATTCATTTACCTATTTACAATATAATTCACCACTACATATATGCGCTTCGTCGAACTTTCTTCGCCTCAATCCTCTGGCCTAGGCTTGAGAAATGTGGGCGTCGTCTCGTACCCGTCATCACTAATGCAAGTGGTTTTAAACGTTATCTGAATATTAAGTGCCATCTCCTTATCCATAGATATTATATGGCAATTTTGATTTTTGAGGGAACGTCGGTAATGGAACTTATCTCTTGTAATTATGTCTTTTGTTAGTTTTGTTTCGTAATCCCTGAAAAAGCGTTGAAAAAACAGGGTTGTCCTTGTGTTTGTCGATTTGTCCGTATAGATTTTGGCTGAGTTGTGCAAATTCGTGAACTACACGGTTTTACCGCAAATCAAGGCAGCGAGAGTATCGCCCACAAAGCATGTATCTTCTAGAGACCCCACGCCAATGTTAAACTTTTAAACCAAATTAGCGCCACCTTGTGTTTGGAGCTGGAACTAAAATGACAATTGGCAGATGGCGGTAAATTCAAATTGTAATTTTTAGGAGTAGGTAGTAGTTTTAAATTAAATTTTAAATGATTTCCATATAAATTATTTTATAAAATAAAGTATGGAACTAGTAAGTTCGAAACTTTTATTTTACAAAATAATTTAGGTCGATTATACCAAATTTGAAGAATTAATTTGTTATAAGGGGTCTAATGTGGAGAGTTGGTTCTGCATATTTTTATTAAATAAATATAAGATATATCAATAAATAATAAAATAGAACATTCTTAAAATATGTTTATTAATAATTTAAATAAATATTATTAGATAAAAACAAATACAAATAATAATACATATTTAACGAATACTTACTTGGAGCAAATAGATATATAATCTCAAATCTTTAAAATACCTATCAATAATTTAAATGTGAAGTAGAGACTAGGATATTACATTTTATTAACACTAAAGTTATATATTTTATAAATGTCTTTTTAACTGAGGACAAATGTAATATAGGTATTGTATTAAAAGGTGAATCCTTTTAACTATTCATTCAATGATAAACAGGTATTTTCCTTCCAAATACAGATGTGAAAAATGATTTTGGAATCTAGTCCAGTGATAAATTGATTATCAATTAGTTGTTGTCCCCGTTTGTCTTTTTATGATGCAGATGCATGGTGAATCAATAAAGTTTTTCTCGAGGTTTTCAACGTAGCACCAAAATTATTGCAAAACACAGTAGGAAATAAAAAAGCGAAACATCACAATTTTGCAAATAACTAAGATGAAACTATAAACAGGAACCAAAAGCCAAAGCCAAAAAAAAATCACTAAAATCAGACGGAAAAATGAAACTAACCAAGAACATAAATAAATACACGTCACATCTTTGGAGTCTTTGGTTAAGTTTTTCTCCCATAAGGCTTAAAAATGGAGTAAGAAATCATAATTTCACCAGTAGCCCCATCTAGAGTTTGGAGCAAATAGCATAACAAATGTCAGTTGTCGGTTTTGACCTTGGTCATTCACGTGGAACCTCTATGTGCTTTGTGGTATCGCCGTTTCGATTTTCGACTTCACCGTGCAGTCCACCGGTCCGACCAGATTTTTCGTCTAGTCGGTTTGAATTTGCACATTCAGTTATTTGTTCACAGGAGTCCAGTCTGTGTTTGTCTGTCTTGTTTTTGTATTTTTAGTTGCGTCTGTATAGTGTCAGTGCTTTGTGGAGACATCCATGCTTTCTATGAGCACTATTTGCCTCCCTTATGTTTAAAATATCTTCCTTTACGTCGTTCGGAAGGCTGTTTATATAGAATTTTTCTGAAATTTTACGTATGTGATCCTTTATAGTAGGCATGGATGTCTCTGTGTGCATGTCGATTACTCTGGAGAAACGGGGCCAACCCAGTGCCAGCCTCAGATAACTGTTTTGTACGACCTGTAGCTTGTTGAAATGACTTTCTGTCATTGAACAGAAAGCCTGACATCCATATGTTAAGATTGGCCGTATTACTTGTTTATACAAGAGTAATTTGTTTTCTCGGCTGACTCTACTACTGCTATTGAAGAGAGGATATAGCGCTCTTCCGGCTGCTTTAGCTTTCGTAACTCTATTTTCGATATGTGTTTTGAACGTCAATTCCCTGTCTAGATACACCCCTAGATATTTGATTGATTGTTTAGCCTCAATAGTTTGTTCACCTATTTTTAATTTGTTTAGGATTCTTTTTGAGTTATCTTTTCTTTTTCTCGTGAGAATAACGCTTTCTGTTTTGGCTGCATTTAGTTTCATTTTATTTGCATCTAGGTAGGGAATTAACGTTCTGTTGATGTGAATGTCAAGCCTCCTGTTCGCGATTTCAGCCAGCTCCGAGGTCTTGTACACGCAGGTATCATCGGCGTACAGTGCCGTCTGTACACCATTAGTACCCATGGGCATGTCATGGGTCATAATAGTGTACAGATGCGGCGAAAGTACCGAACCCTGGGGTACCCCCTCCTCTGCATTGAATGGTCCTGTTAAGGTTTTGTTTAGTTTTATGTAAAAAGTTCTGTCTAGTAAGTAAGATTGAATCGTTCTTACAATGTAAATAGGAAAATCATTTATAAACATTTTATAAATAAGCCCACGGGTCCATACTGTATCGAACGCCTTTTCGGTGTCTAGTGCTACTAATACAGTAAGTTTTCTATTATTGCAGGCTTCCATAGCTTGATGAGCTATTTTTATTACTTGTGCTACTGTACCATGGCCTTGTCGAAACCCGTACTGTTCCCGTGGGATTATTTGTTTGTCTAGTTCAATTGTTCGTAGTCTATTAAGGATGATCATGTCTATTGTTTTGGTAAGTGTGTTAAGAAGGGAGATCGGACGATAGCTCCCAATGTGCTTAGCGTTTTTACCCGGTTTTTTAATCGCGATGATGTTAGCTATTTTTAGTTTTTTGGGATGTTGGGTTTTAAAAATGGCATTAATGATATAGTGTAACTGGACTATGGCTTTTCTCGTGAATTTTTTAAGCATAAGGGCTGTGATTTCATCTGGTCCGGGTGCTTTCCTATTATTTAATTTCATAATTGTTAGTTTGACCTCTTGTGGTGTGACCAGCTGATTGGTCGGAACTGTTTGCTGTGGGAGGAGCCTAATGTCATTTACGACGTCCTCTATTATTTGCTGTTGAATATTATTTTGAATATTGTTTGTGAAATTGTTTTGGAAGTATTCCCCCAACGCTTCCCCTTTAGTTGTGTCTGTTGTGTAATGTTCGTTATTGTCCTCCAGTGTGGGTAGTTGCGTAAACGGCTTTTTGTACCGTCTAGCCACTTTCCACACTGAATTGTCTTGTGGTTTGAGATTTTGTAATATGTCTGTCCATTTTTTGTTTTTTAAGTCTCGTATGGCGGTGTTAATTGTTTTTGAGATGTCTAGAAGTCTTATTCGATCGTCCCTTTGTCTATTTCTCTGCCAGCGTTTTCTTATGTAATTTTTGTTGTCAATCATGTCCTGAATTTCCTGTGTGATGTTTTCGTGATGCGATTTTATTTGTTTAATTACTGTAGAGGCGTCTCTTGCCTTAATAATGGCGTTGGTTAGTTTATCTACTTCATTGTCAATTTCCGTCTCTGTAGTAATGTTATTGTTAATTACGATGTGGTTGTTCAGTGTGTCCTTGTATTTGGTCCAGTTTGTTGTTTTGTAGTCATAGTATTGTCCGTTATGCCTCTGTATGTTTCGTTTCGTCCTGATTTCAATGTAAACTGGGTCATGGTCCGAGTTTAGTGTTGTGATTGTCCTAATGTTGTGTATACTGTTAATGTTTTTAGTTATCGCGATGTCTAACGTGCTAGGGGTTTGTCCACTAAAGGGAAAAAACGTTGGTTCCTCCGTATAGTGAATTTGGTAGTCGTTATTATCAGCAAATTCGCTGAGTGTGTTCCCGTTTCTATTATTTAGTGTGCAATTTGAATCCCATTCACTATTTTTTGCGTTAAAATCGCCTATTATTATAACTTTCTCCCCTGCTGCCATTAGGTTTGAAAGATCTATGTAATTGAATTTATTTAGTGGTTTGTTGTACGCCCCAATGATTGTAAAACCCCCTATTTTGACTATGGCATGTTCAATGCTAGATATTACATTTGGAAATGCTGCATGCTGAATGGTCCGTTTGACAAGGAGAGCCACGCCCCCTCCGCGTTGGTCTAGTCTGTCCTGTCTGTAAATTTCGTAGTCTCTTACTTTTATTTTGTGCTGTGGTTTTAAATTTGTCTCTGAAAGTATTACGATGTCGAATTTATGTTTATAAATGAAGTTGCTAACAAGATGAATCTTGTTAAGCAGCCCATTAACATTGTAAGAACAGATTTTGTATTTGTCCCGGAATTCCGCAGCGAATTTAATTCCTGAATTTATAGTTGTTTAGATTGGTCATAAAGTTATTATATGTTAGGAATATGGATGCTTCGCTGCGGCATTCCCTGAGTTGTGAGTTGAGTTCCCTTACCGCTCGTGTGAATTCTGAGATGTTTACCAATGAATTTAATTCTTGCATTTCGTTATTTAACGCGAAAAGATCACCCATATCTCCCTGTGTGCCTTGATTTTGATTATTTGACCTTGGGGGTTGTTTTCGTGCTTCCTGATTCGTCCTCGTAGTTGGATCAGCTCTACTGCCCGGTAGGAGAGGGAACTCCGTGTCGCCCGGTAGGAGAGGGAACTCCGTATTATAATTCGTGCTGTTCATGGCCTCTCTCCTGCTATCCCACCTATTTTTTGTGGGTAGGGGTGCAGGAATGTATGTTTGCTTTTGATTTTTGTTGCTGTTTTGTTTTCTCTCCTCCATTCTGGTTATTCTTTCGACATAAGCCTTGCATTTTGTGAAATTGGCCGGGTGGTCTCCTCCACAGTTAATGCATTTGGCCGGGGTATCTCTAGTTTTGACACAGGTTTTTGTATGGTGTCCAGCAGCGCATTTAAGGCAGTTTGATGGCCTACCGCAGTTTGCAGTGGCGTGCCCCCACGCCTGGCAGTTGTGGCACTGTATAATTTGCTTAGTCGACCTTCTAAGCTCCCATGTGATTCGTGTGTACAGTACCACTCGTACGTTTCTATTTAGATAGTCTAATGTTATTGAGGGATCTGTGACTACCAGGAATAGGGGCCTATTTTTGGTTGTCATGCGGTATGCTGCCCTTATCTTTATCTCGTATTCTTCCATTAGATCTTCTTCCAGATCCTCTATTTTTGTGCCGTCTCCCAGCCCTCTGATGACAAAGGCATGAGATTTATCCGTTTTACTGGTGTAGGTATGGTACGCCATTTCTTCCCTTTTTACGTTTGCAAGGACACTATCATAGTCTGATTTTTCTTCTGTGAAGACTATCGTGGACGAGTTGGTATATTTTACATTGAATTTGCCTTTTATTAGTTCCCTGAGTACTCCAGTTAACCCTTTGTGGTCTTCTGGGACGCCGTCTAGTACTATGGGTGGCATTGTGGGCTTCTTTTTGTTTTGAGTTCCTTCTTTTTTGTTATCCGCCTCTTTGGCAGTCTCTACTGTGGCCTTTTTACTACCCCTTCTTTCTTTTCTGGCTTCCTGTCTACGTTTTTCAATTTGTTCTTCCGATTATTCGTCATCTGATTCGTCTGTTAGGACGTGGTATCTATTATTCAGTGTAATTGGCTTAGGCATTGTTGCTATGACCTTTTGTTTAAAGATTTTCCGTAGATTTGTACTTATCTTTGGAGGGGTGTCATTTTCGACGTCCATGGGCGTATCATTGTTTATTTCTATTTTGTCTACATCACCATTATCCCTTCTGCTTCTTTTGGTTCTGTGCAGAGTAAATGTACTGTTAGGGGATGTTTTTTCTTCTTCGTCTTGTAGCAGCGAAAAATTTCGCCGTTTCGATTTTCAACTCACCGTGCAGTCCACCGTCCGACCAGATTTTGCGGCTAGTCGGTTTGGAGTTGCACATTTAGTAATTTTGTCACAGGGAAAGGTCTGCGTGTGTTTTATGTTCAGAATTGTCTGTATATTGTCAGTGCTTTATGGAGGCACCCAGCTTTCTATGTGCACTATTTCCTGCATTAATGTTGAGTATGTCTTCCTTAACGTTAGCAGGAAGACTATTTTGATAAAACCTTTCGGTTATGTTAAGAATAAATGTTTTTATAGTGGGCATGGATGTCTCTCTGTGCATGTCTGTTATCCTGGAATAACGGAGCCACCCCAGTGCCTGCCTCAGACAGCTGTTCTGTACTACTTGCAATTTATTTAAATGACTTTCTGTCATCGAACAGAAGGCCTGACATCCATACGTGAGGATTGGCCTTATTATTTGTTTATATATTCTAAGTTTATTATCCCTGCTAACTCCGCTGTTGCGCTTTATTAGTGGGTATAATGCTCTTATTGCAGCTTTGGCCTTTGCTACCCGATCCTCGACATGGTGTTTGAAAATTAATCCCCTATCCAGGTGCACCCCAAGATATTTGATAGTATGCTTCGTTTCGATCACCTGATCCTTGATTTTTAATTTATTTAAGATTTTGGAGGTTCTTCCTCTTTTTTTGGTAAGAATCAAGCTCTCGGTTTTTGAAGCATTCAGTCTCATCTTGTTTGCCTCTAGGTAGGGGATCAATGTCCTGTTGATATGTACATCAAGCCTTCTGTTTGCGATTTCGGCAAGATCTGAAGTTTTGTACACACAGGTGTCATCGGCGTACAGTGCCGTCTGTACACCATTAGTACCCATTGGCATGTCATGGGTCATAATCGTGTACAGATGCGGCGAACGTACCGAACCCTGGGGTACCCCCGCTATTGCATTAAATGGTCCTGTTAGTGTTTTGTTGACTTTAATGTAAAACGTTCTGTCCTGTAGGTAGGATTGAATCGTTTTTACAATATAAATAGGAAATTCATTTATAAACATTTTGTAGTTAAGCCCACAGGTCCAGACGGTATCGAATGCCTTTTCCGTGTCCAAGGCTACGAGGACAGTGTTTTTATTATCATTAAAAGATTCTTTGGCTTGGTGCGCGATTCTAATAACTTGGGCGATAGTCCCATGACCTTCGCGGAAACCGTACTGTTCCTGTAGGATTATTTGTTTGTCTTGTTCTATTACTTGTAGTTTGTTGAGTAATATTATGTCTATTGTTTTTGTAAGTGTGTTGAGTAGCGAAATGGGGCGGTAACTCTCTATATTCTTAGTGCTTTCCCCCTTTTTGTGGATTGGGATAATATTGGCTACTTTAAGTTTATTGGGGTAGTACTGGGTTTTGAGGATCGCATTAATGATGTAGTGGAACTGTACAATTGTTTTTCTTGTGAAATTTTTAAGCATTAACCCCGTGATTTGATCCGGCCCCGGTGCTTTCTTTTTGTTAATGCGATCGATTGCCGCTTTTACGTCGCTGGGTTTGATCAGCTGATTGGTCGGCACGTTTTGTGGTGGGAGGAGCCTTATATCGTTGACCACGCCCTTTATAAATTGTTGCTCGACGCTATTTTCAATATTGTTTGTGAAATTTTTCTCGAAATATGCACCGAACGCCTCCCCTTTCTGAGTGTCTGTTGTGTATTGTGTGTTATTGTCTTCCAGTGTGGGAAAATGCGTAAACGGTTTCTTAAGCCGTTTTGTCATCTTCCACACTGAATTGTCTTGTGGTTTGAGGCCTCGTAATGTGTCCGTCCATTTTTTGTTTTTTAAGTCACGTATAGCTGTGTTGATGGCTTTAGAGATGTCTAAAAGTCTAATTCTATCGTCCCTTTGTCTGTGTCTTTGCCATCTTTTCCGAATGTTGTTTTTGTTCGTGATCATGTCTTCTATTTCCGGTGTTAGTATTTCTTGATGTGATTTAATATGTTTTATACGTGTGGAGGCGTCTCTGGCCTTTATAATGGCGTTTGTTAATTTGTCCACTTCTACGTCCAGTTCAGTAGGTGTATTAATGTTGTTATTTATTACTATGTCTTTGTCCAGAATTTCTCTGTATTTCGTCCAGTTTGTTTTTTTGTGATCGTAATACTGTCCGTTATGTTTTTGTATAGTCCTTCTTGTTCCTATTTCTAGGCAGATCAGGTCATGGTCTGAATTTAATGTGGGTATGCTCCTAAAATTTTGTACGCTGTCTATGTTTTTTGTTATCGCTATGTCTATAGGTGTAAATCCGGAGAAAGGGAAGCACGTTGGTACATCTGTGTAATGGATAGTGTATCGGTTTGATTCAGCGAATAGGCTTAGTGTATTACCATTAGCGTTGTTTTTATTGCAGTTTGCATCCCATTCCGCGTTTTTTGCATTAAAGTCCCCGATTATTATTACTTTATGCCCTAGCTGTGGCTATTAAGTTACGCAAGTCAATATTATTAAATTTATTTGCCGGCCTATTATATACCCCTACAAAGGTTATACCCCCTACTTTTATAATTGCATGTTCTATGTCCGATAGAACGTTTGATACGGTTTCGTATGAAATATTTTGTTTAATAAGGAAAGCCACGCCCCCTTTCGGGAAGTCTAGTCTGTCTTGTCTGTAGATGTCGTAGTCGCGCACTTTTATTTTGTGATGTGGTTTTAAATGAGTTTCTATGAGAATTACTATGTCGAATTTATGTTTATAAATGAAGTTGCATACAAGATGTTTCTTGTTTAGCAGCCCGTTTACATTGTAAGAACAGATTTTGTATTTGTCTCGTAATACCGCAGCGAATTTAATTCCTGAATTTGTACGTATTTAGATTGTTCATAAAATTGTTGTAAGTTAAGAAAATAGACGCGTCGCTGCGGCATTCCCTAAGTTGTGAGTTAAGCTCCCTTACCGCTCTTGTTAACTCTGCTATGTTCACCATTGAATTAAGTTCTTGCATCTCGTGATTTAGAGCAAAGAAGTCGCCCGTACCTCCCTGGGTGCCTTGTGGTTGAGAATTTGCCCTTGAGGGTTGATTTCTGTTTTCTTGGTTCTGCTGCTGTGATGGTGGTAGGTCTGCTTTGTTGCCCGGTAAGAGAGGGAACTCTGAGTTGTAATTGCTGGTGGCCTCCCTCCTGCTTTCCCACCTATTTTTCGTAGGTAGGGGTGCAGGTACGTATGTTTTCTTGGCGTTGTTATTATTAATTTTTTGTTTTCTTTCCTCGAGTCGGGCCACCCTGTCAATGTAAGCTTTGCATTTCGTGAAGTTGGCTGGGTGGTCCCCTCCACAGTTGTAGCAAGTTGCGGGTGTTTCCCGTGATTTGGCGCATGTCCTGGTGTGATGCCCTGCTGCGCATTTTAAGCAGTTTGACGGCCTACCGCAATTTGATGTGGCATGCCCCCATGCCTGGCAGTTGTGGCACTGTATTATCTGCATGGTTGATCTCCTAAGCTCCCAGGTTATTCTTGTGTATAGTACCACTCTAACATTGCGATTTAGGTAGTCAAGTGTGATGGACGGGTCTGTTACTACCAGGAATAGGGGTCTGTTCTTGGTAGTCATGCGGTAGGCTGCTCTTATTTTAATTTCATAGGTCTCCATCAGGTCCTCTTCGAGGTCCTCTATTTTAGTTCCGTCTCCCAATCCTCTGAGGACGAAGGCATGTGACTTGTCGCTTTTGCTGGTATATGTATGGTATGCCATCTCTTCTTTTTTGACATTTGCTAAAACATTATCGTAATCTACTCTGTCTTCCGTGAATACAATGGTTGACGTATTTGTGTATTTGACATTAAATTTGCCTTTTATGATGTCTTTAAGCACTCCAGTTAGTCCTTTGTGGTCCTCTGGGACTCCTTCTAGGACTATTGGGGGCATATTGTTCTTCCTTTTTGCCTGTACCTCTTCTTTTTTCTTAGATGCATTGGTGGTTTCTGTGCCACCCTTCTTACTGTCTCTTCTTTCTTTTTTAGCATTCTGCTTTCTTTTTTCGATGGAGTCATCACTTTCTTCCTCTTCCGATTCATCTGTTAAGGCATGGTATCTATTTTTTAACGTGATTTTTGGCAGTGTAGCTGTTACCTTCTGTTTGAACACCCTTCTCAGGTTAACACTTATTTTCGGAGGGGTATTTTCTTGGACTTCCATGTTTTCAGCTGGTATGCTTTCAATTTTGTCAAGGCCTATGCTGTTTACATTGTCTCTTCGACTTCTCTTGCTCCTTTGGAAGATAAAGGTGCTGTTAGGGGAGGTTCTTTCCTCCTCTGCTGCAGGTGTATTTGATGTGGTAGGCTTTGTTGTTAGTGCCTGAGGTAGGGTGATTCTTTTGTCAGGAAGTATGAGTTTTTCGGGTTGTTCCGCGAGGTGGTGTAAGATTGGTTCCACCACTGTCTGGTTTAGTGTTGGGGGTATATTTTCGTCTCCCGAAAGCTCTGCTCCGCTTGTAAAATCATATCTCATGATATTTTGCCTTAGCTTTTGTGGGATGTCGCTATTTAGGATGGTGATTTTCAGTCCTTCTGCGGACGGGATAGATACGTATTCGGAGTTGAAGTTGTCCATATTTTGGTTGTTTGCATTAGTGTTTGTTACGCTAAGTTCCTGCTCTGAGGTCTGGGAGTTTTCGTCCGTTTTTGCGTTATACGGATTTTTATTCGTATCTTGGTTTGTGTCGGGCTCTTCCATATCTACATCTGGAATTTCGGGGTTCTCCCCGTCGCTGCTTTCCACCGAGCTATAGAATTGCTCTTCGCTTTTTTCGTCACTGTCTTTTGTTGTACTTTGCGTTTCCTCCAGTGTGGGTGTAGTTTCCTGACCTGTGATGGTATTATCAGTTGTGTTTGATAGATTTGGTGTTTTCAAGGTCGTTTGAAGGTCGTTCTGACGTTTTTTCGAACAGGGGTTCCCCTGTTCGGAACAGCTGATCCCAGTGTTATGGTAGGTTAGTGGTATGTGTGCGGTACTCACGTTTGATGTGGGATTAAGCTTCAGCTTAGCTTTGAATGAGTTAGTATTATTGATTTTCGCAATTCTGTTGATCTCCTCCAGATTAGGCCGGCATCTTCTTTTTAATCGCTTTGTATATGTGGTTTCAAAGCCAGAATTTGGCGTTTTGGGGGCCCTGTCGGGCTTGGGCATCTATCGATAACCCTTACTAGTTGGGGTTTTTACTTACACTGGCAATAGAGACTTAATAGGGAAAGGTTAAAATATTTATTTGACAACTGACAAATTACTCTACCAAAAAACTCTAAGCTTTTGATAGCAACTGACCGTTTGTAAAAAAAAAAAAAAAAAAAATTCGCACTCGCCCGAGATTCTACCAGTCGATTTATCGCTCAGGTAGAGATTGTCGTGGGTCCTGTTATTGTCGTCTATATATGCTTAGATTTTTGTGAACACAGCCGTGTTTTCTACGCACGCCGTCTCCCTGGTGAATTTGAGTGATACTCTCCCTCAGTTCCTCAGGGAGGCATCGCGCGTAGAAGTTTTCAGCAGTTTGTATAATGAAATCTTTAATCATAGGCATATTTGTCGTCTCGTGTATGTCTCGTATTCTAGCATAGCGGTCGTAACCCAGTGCTAGCCTGAGACATCTGTTTTGTGCCCTTTGTAGTGGGAGAAAATATGAATTTGGCATTGAACAGTATACTGGACAACCATATGTCAGTATAGGCCTAAATATAGTTTTAAAGAATAGAATTTTGTTCGGCAGGGTTACCTTGCTCCGTCTATTCATTAAGGGGTACAGAGACCTCAGAATACCGGAATTTTTCGCTACCCTGTCTTTTATGTGGGCCCTGAACAACTTTCTGAATATGACTTTTCTATTGTAATAAGAGATTTAAATGTAAATATGTTGGTTCCTAATCCTTACTTGAACTATTTGACACTTCTGGATATTCTAATTTTGTTAATGAGCCAACTCAAACTTTATTAGATCCAATATTCATTAACAATAAAAATATTTGTCTTAACAAAGGTACTGTCAGTTCTCACCTTAGCGATCATAATCAAATGCCACATTGCACGCTGAATATTATAATAAATAAGTCAAAACAAAAATTTATTACTATACGAAATCTAATAAATATTGACATTGATCGTTTTAAAAGGGATCTACACTCAATATTCTGGGATGAAATATTTTAAATAGAAAATGTTATTGATAAAATAAGATTTTTAAATAATCACATTAATGGTATTTTCGACAAACATGCTCCTCTTAGAACTATTAGAGTTAGTAAACAAACCCCCAGCACCCTGGATAATCTAAAATTAATTTTTAAAGAATGTGACAAGGCGCTTTCTAAATTCAAATCGAATAAAACATCTGATATTTGGAATCATTACAAAGAGTGTCGGAATTATGCTCTGGCACCAATTAGGAGAGAAAAGACAGCATATATATCTAAGCTGCAGAGTGATAAAAATTATAAAATGTTGTGGCAAAGTTTACGTAATATGAATATTCGATCAGCAATTGTTAACGATGATTTACCTTCGTCTTTACGTAATCCCAATGACATAAATGATTTATTTTATTAGTGTTTTTAAAGAAACTGACGGTTGTCGTGATCGAAATATTTATTCAAATATGTAGTCAATTCATTGATAATATCTTCAAATTTACACTTGTAAATCAAGTTACAGTTCTTGATTCAATAAATTTAATAAAATCGAATGCCTATAGAAATGATGGCGTATCACTTTATATGTTGAAATAATGCTTGCCTACAATTCTTGACCATATTACTCATATTATTTATTGTTGCCTACAGTGCGGATATTTTCCAGTCTATAATTCGTCCGATTTCTAAGCCTAGTTCTATCCGTGACTTACGTCCAATAAGTTTATTACCTATCGTATCAAAAATAATTAGAGTTATCTATACTCAGCTGTATGATTACTTCACAATTAATATTCTTTTTACCCAACAATCTGGTTTTCTAAAAGATCATAGTACTACCACTGCCATACTGAATCTTACCGACAATATATTTCGAGCCCTTGACAAAAAACAGAGTGTTGTTTTAATCGCTTTGGACTATTCCAAGGCTTTTGACTTAATAGATCACGACTTGTTATGGGCTAAACCTAAATACTATGGATGCGATGATGTTGTTTTATCTTTTTTTAAGACCTATTTATGGAACTGTACTCAATGACAGCTTATCATCCACCAAAAATATAATTTCAGGTGTACCTCAAGGGTCTATTTTAGGTTCTTTATTCTTTCTTATTTACACCTCAGATTTGCCACGGGTACCGAATAATAGTCAATTACAACTCTATGCCGATTTTACATTGCTTTGAATCTCTTAATATTCATAATACCAATAATTCAATTAATGCTGACTTGCAATTGATTTCTCAGTATTCTAAAGAACACAATTTAAGTATAAATCCATCTAAAACCACTGCGGTTCTTACTGTAGCAAAACTAAACGGGATGAAATCGAAAGGTTTAAAAATCATATAAAAGCAATTCTTCAAAAGTGTTATATGAAGATGTGGTCATTATATGTAAATAACCATATTTTAAACTTTAAAATGCGCAAAAAGCTTTGTGAAACTCTAGTACTATTTACAATGAACTATGGTATTCCGATTTATTTTCCGTTTAGATAGTATCTCAAAACCAGCTCCAACGTTTGTGAGAGGGTTACTCTGAAATTGAGGAACTATTCTCACTTGTGGCGTTCGGACGGGTTTGCTCGAGCGCCAGATTATTTTAATGTGGTTTACTCCACTATCTTTTGAAGTCGTATCAAAAGAATACTTCAAAAGAATACTTCAAAAGAATACTCGGGTAGCTACAGTGAAGAAATAAAATTTCCAGGGGACAACGTTATTATAGCCAGGTAATGTAAGTGTAAGCAACGGGCTTTAATCGTTACTTATACGATGTTCACTACTCTAGGTTCTGAAAGATATATAAATAGGTAGGTAGGAAGCCTGTAACCCTTGACAGGTGTAATATTACTAGTATTAATAACAATAAGCCAGAGGAACATTTAATACATATATTTTCTTACTAAAACTAAACAATATTGATTATAATATTTGTAAGTCCCACCCGGTATTACGGAATCCCTGAACGGTTGAAGTTGGAACTCTCAATCAGACGGTTAAGGGTAATTTAAGACGTTAAAGTCGTCGGTGATACGACAATGTTTGAAAATGTTAGAGTATAAGAGCCCAAGGTGAAATAATAACATACGTCACGGGACACACGGTATACGTCCAAAAATCACTTGGCTTGTAATAAGAAGGAACATTTACTAATCGAATATTAATTAAGTAGATACGGTGGGGAATATCAGAAAATTTATAAAGAGAGAAAGATGGCCCTAAAACAATTAACAGACTTAACCAGTATTTAGCGAGGCCGGGCCGGCTAAATATATAGTTCTTTCAGCTGAAATCTTGAACTGATGCCAAAACGTCTTCGTGAACTCCTAAGGGTTCCAGTCGAATCGACATACAATTCAGATAATAGCCAAACCAGTCAACGATGTTAGTTCTAGCTAAATCACGGAACGGGGTAGATTTATAACGGATGAGTTACGGCCCTAGTAATGACACACGATGGACATATAACCTAGTACCGAAATAGAATGAATCCGGAGTCACCCTAATTCAATATAAGGTCTTATTGAAACAGTATCTGGGAGCGATGCCGAAACGTCTTTATGAACTCCTAAGGGTTCCAGTCGAATCGACATACAATTCAGATACTGTCCAAAATGTCGGAAGGAAAGGCCCTAGAGAGAGTCAAAATTAAATTACAAGGCCAAGCAAAATCAGAGTCATATTTGAAAAATATTAATGTGTCTTAAAGTAATAAAATTATTTCGAAAAGAAATAATTTTCGTAAACAAAATATTATATCAGGTACGAAAATATTTCGAACTGCAACAAAATTAAAACGATTTATTTTAAACTGGCTTCAAAATTTCTTTTTTACTTCGACAGGTGTGAAGAAAAAAAAACGAACAAAATAGATAAGGCGGCTTTTTTACAATTTAACATGAAATCAAACAAAACAATAAATTTCGGAAACTAAATTACCTTCAATGGAAATACTATCTAAATTCGGAATTTAAATTACTAATATTATTTGGTTTACAATTTAGTTGAAAGCAAAAATCAAAATTTAAAATCGATCGGCAAATTATCGCGCGGAGACGGTTAGTTAGTTCAAACAAAGTACTCGGCGGTCTTGATCGAATTGCCAAAAATCTTTTTCCCCTGCGGTCTGAGCACCATGAATGCTCTTATCAGACCGTCCGGCGCGCGACTCTTGTACTAGAAGAGGGACGATACACGGTTTGAAATATCACGTTCAACGCTTGCATACCGGGTTCCTCAAAATTATGGAAATAAAATTTGATCATATTTCACCAGTTTACTCAGTTAAATGGATAAAAATTTGCAATTTGTTTCAAATTACCTTTCTTACTTTTATATAGATTAGTAAAAACACATAAGCCTATCTATTTATTTGAGAAACTTTAATTTAGGAGCTCTATGCATGCTTGTAACATTATACATAACACCCTTACAATGCCTCACCACTCATCTGCAATGTTCGAAAGGTCTTTTACATATAACGCTGTCAAATTGTATAACTCTTTTAACTTTTTAAACTGTTAGAAATAATCCTATTTTCAATATTTAA